AGCCCCCCTATCCACCTTACAGTACATCCCAGAGACGAGGGGAGCCTCCCACATGAAGCCCCCTATCCACCTTACAGTACATCCCAGAGACGAGGAGAGCGCCCCACATGAAGCCCTCTATCCATCTTACAGTACATCCCAGAGACGAGGGGAGCCCCCCACATGAAGCCCTCTATCCACCTTACAGTACATCCCAGAGACGAGGAGAGCCCCCCACATGAAGCCCCCCGATCCACCTTACAGTACATCCCAGAGACGAGGAGAGCGCCCCACATGAAGCCCCCCGATCCACCTTACAGTACATCTCCCTTTGGAAGTGGCACTTGCATTCACACTTGCATTTGTTCATTGTCTCCCATATTAAAGAGTATAAGCACCACGAGAGCAGGGAAAGCACTTCTTTTTTTTTTTTTTTTCATTATTTTTATTGTTTGGGATTCACTGAGGGTACAAAGAGTTAGGTTACACTGATTGCATTTGTTAGGTAAGGTCCCTCTTATAATTGTGTCCCGCCCCCAAGGAAAGCACTTCTTTTCAGTGAGTCTCTTCAGTGCTTAGCACACAGTAGCTGCATAATTAATTTTATAATAGTTGTCAGGATGATAGGCTGGGGCCAGATTATAGGGGGCTATAACATCAGGCCAAGTAAACCAAAGGGCAAGATTCACCGTCCCTTTGTAAATATGTAAATTGAGACAGAAATCAATGTATAGATATTCAAGGTCACAGAAACAGCAGTGACGGGGCCAAATCTAACTCTCCATTTAGCTCATTTTTCTTCCTTAGAACACTAAAAATCCTCAGTGGGTGAGGAAGCATTTCAGAAGAAAAAAACTTAGGATTGAGAAGGTGGTACAAGAAAGGAGTAGGATGACAGCTTCTGAATCTGCCTGTCACACTGGTTGCCTCCAGATGGACAACAGTTAGACTTTCCACACCTAAAGAAGCATTGCTGTTAAGCAAACAAACATAACCACTACCACCCTTCTCCCTCAGAGAGGTGTGTATTTGCTTGATGATTTATGATACAGAAAAAATTAATAAAAATTAAAATTTTTAAAAAGAGAGGGGAAGGGCCGGGCACGGTGGCTTACACCTGTAATCCTAGCACTTGGGAGGTTGAGGCAGGTGGATTACCTGAGCTCACAGTTTTGAGACCAGCCTGAGCCAGAGTGAGACCTCGTCTCTAAAAAAGTAACGACATTGTGTGGGCTCCTGTAGTCCCAGCTACTTGGAAGGCTGAGGCAAAAGAACTGCTTACGCCTAAGAATTTGAGGTGCCTGTGAGCTATGACACCATGGCACCCTACTGAGAGCGACCATGTGAGACTCTTGTCTCAAAAAAAAAAAAGGAGAGAGGAGTGAGGCATGGTTGTTCATATCTATAATTCTAGCAAGCACTTGGGGAGGATTGTGTGAGGCCAGGAGTTCAAGACCAACCTGGACAACAGAGCAAGACCCCATCTCTAAAAAAAAAAAAAGGAGAGAGAGAAAGAGAGTGAAAAGAATATAAAACGACAACTTGGCGCCTGTGGCTCAAGTGGCTAAGGTGCCAGCCACATACATCTAAGGTGGCGGGTTCGAATCCAGCCCAGGCCCGCCAAACAACAATGACGGCTGCAACCAAAAAATAGCCAGGCATTGTGGCGGGCACCTGTGGCCCCAGCCGCTTAGGAGGCTGAGGCAGGAGACTCGCTGGAGCCAAGGAGTTGGAGGTTGCTGTGAGCTGTGATGCCATGGCACTCTACCCAGGGGGCAACTTGAGGCTCTGTCTCAAAAAAAAGAATATAAAATGACAAACTTGGGCGGCATCTGGGGCTCAGTGGATAGGGCGCTGGCCCCATATACTGAGGGTGGCGGGTTCAAACTCGGCCCCAGCCAAAACTGCAACAACAGCAAAAAAAAAAAAAAAAAAAAACTTCTTTCACAAAGGGCAAGAAATGACTGGAGGGAAAACTGCTCTCTAGGTATCTTCAAAAAATAAAACAAAAATAATAATAACAACAATAATGGGCAGTCTGGCTACCTGGACTGCTCCTCAGCAATCAGCAGGGAACAGGAAGGAAACGTGGGGAAAAGACAGCCTTCCCACCACTGACTGGAACAGGGATAGGGGGAAATCCTTGCTAACCCACTGGCAGTTCTCAGTATAGGTGCCAATGAAAGGAAAAGTGACATGATCCCAACTGCAACATTTCGTCATTTCGTTGTCCACATGCTGCTAGGGCAAAATTATAGCTATCACAGAAACCAAAGGGGTCAGGCTCATTGCTGTTCATCCTGCCAAGCACAGACTCCAAGAACAAGAAACAGCAAAGAAAGGATCTTCAAAGAGGACTCTGAATAAAGATTCACACAGTCTGCATCCACCCCCAAGTTCTGGGGTAAGATGGAAGAGGAGCCAGGAAGGTGTTCCCAGAGTGGGAAGAGATAGAGGAAGAGATGTGATATGCTAGTGATAAGGCGGAGATTCTGAAACAGAGGGAAAATGTAAACTGCAAATGGAGAGAGAGCGAAAGAAACAGAATTTCAAGAAACAGGGGTCAGGTGGGGAAGAAAGTAAAGTACAAGTAAAAAGGGTACGTGTCCAGAAGAGCAAAGAGTAAACAAAAGAGAGACACAGGGAAAGGCAAACTGGTGATCTTTTCCCAAATCCATTGCATCCTAATACATCACTCTTTTTTTTTCTGTAGAGACAGAGTCTCACTTTATCGCCCTTGGTAGAGTGTCATGGCATCACATAGCTCACAGCAACCTGCAACTCCTGGGCTTAGACGATTCTCTTGCCTCAGCCTCCCAAGTAGCTGGGTACAGGTGCCTGCCACAACACCCAGCTATTTTTTTTTGTTGCAGTTTGGCCGGGGCCGGGTTTGAACCCTCCACCCTCGGTATATGTGGCTGGTGCCCTACATACTGAGCCACAGGCGCCGCCCCTAATGAATCACTCTTATCACAAAGCCCATACAATGGACTGTCCATTGTGTTCAGTTACAAGCAACATCTAAGTAAGTATCACACAGCTACAACTTTGGAGACCTAAGGGTCTGAAATAAAAATGAACAAAATTGTTTCAGCAGCAGAAGACAGTGAGTGATGACTTTCCCTCAACTCAGTTATGAAAAGGTTTAACATTTAGAGTTAAGCAAACACTCTAGCATTTCTCCTTCTTTTGACATTCCAAGAGGGGGTGTGGCTGACCCTGGGTCCATTCATCTCCAAGGTTGTAGATCTCTCAGCTGAGACTGGTCCCATCTGTTCTGTAGCCAGCCAGCTGTTTATTTCAAAGTAACATATTTATTGCACTGATCATCCCTCCTAGGAGAGTTCACACAACACAAGTCAGAATGCTTTCTATCCTGATAAAAGTCAGCTCGCTTAAAAATAAGCATTATACTACTATGCTCCTTGGTTTCTCTGGCCAGAATCACTTTTCCATGGGTATCTTTCAATAATGGCAAGTGAAGGTTAACAGTGCTTCTAACTTTGCCTTTCCCTAACGTGTTAAAACGAACCCAGTTTCCCTCATCGATCCCTTCTCCGAACCGTTATTCATGAGTGGTGACTGTGCCTCAGGAAACGGCAGCTCATTATGGTACCATTGTCAGTGGCAAGGAGCCTATTGCAATGTAATTTAAAACACACAAGCACAAATCTGTCGGCTCCACTTCCAAACAATTCTGAATCCTGCAGTCAGAAGAACGGAAAACACTTAACAAAAATGCTTCTTCCAGAAGCCTAAGGGAACCTTCCCCGGACACGTGAAATGTTTCTGACTGGCACGGAGTACACGATTAAAGGACACTGTCACCTCAAATCACCAGAAAAGGCGAGGCAAACGACCTAGACGTACACACAAAAAATAAAGCCCACAAAGCTCAAGTTACTCAGAAGAAGCAGGTACGTCTTAAAAATGAATAATACTTGCTCGACCACGCGACATAGAAATGTCCTAAAGTAGTGCGACCACATTAAATCACTGTCTCCATTTCTCCCCACGCATCACCCCTACCCACTCAAACCTTAGCACTCGGGCCGCATGTGACAGGACTGCATTCTACCACCTCTGCCTTCCTCTGATTTTCCAAGAGCAGTTCCCAACATCCTTCCCACCCCAGCCCCCTCTGCCAGCTTCAAAGGTTGAGCAGAGTTGCGACTAGGGAATTAATTGGCAGGCACCGACCCTCTGGCGGGGGAAGGTTGCTGGAGTTGTTCTTTGCAGTGACCCAAATTGCACAGAGCTTTTCCTCAGAGGCGCCTGTGAGCACCTCCCCAATCCAGCCCCCCACCCCCATCTTTCTAAAAGAAAGCCTTGAGAACTAAGCGGGAGGAATAACTTGGTGGAATCATTTGAATAGATCACTTCAACTCACCTGGTTTGGGATTTTTCTCCCTACCCCAGGCATAAACAGAAATGATGTGTGAATGAGTCACGCACGCAAAGGAAGGTGCCGCGATGTCCTATGTCCAAGGGCTGGAGTCAGTCCCTGCCCTGGTGCTGCTGCTACTCTTAGCTCAGCTGGAGCGAGCGGCAATCGCAAACCCAGCAGCAGCAGGGGGTGGAGAGACCGTAGCACAATGAATGCAGTGGGGTTTTTGCAATGACATCATCCCTCTGTCCAAACAGCCCCAATAGGCATGCTCGGGAGCGGTGCGTTCTGGGAATTGTAGTCATATTACATCCTGGCGGGACACCGAGGCTATCTCTGGAACTACAATGCCCAAAATGCGCCAAGGGTGGACTCTCCCCGAGTGAAGGAGCCGAGGGGACCTGGCCGCCATGTTAAGAGTGGTGAGACTGTTCTGCGGGGCCGGGCAGAAATTTTGGGGTGCGCGGAAGACGAGTGGTGGTGCAGTGGGGACGGTGAGGTGGAGGACGACTTGATCGAGAGCCTCGGGCATGGACTTGGGAACCAGAGGGTGGCGGCTGCACTAGGGACTGATGTAGGGCGGGTCTGACCGGAGGCGGCATCAAGGGGCCGAGTGAGCCACGGTACTGAGGGGATTGCATAGGGCCATACCCGTCTCGCTCCATTTTCTAACTAAGGGATTGAGGGAGTCTGTTTGCTTCTTGATTCCGAGTATCATGTAGACCGGCTAACAGAATAGTCTGGACAGTGGGTGTCTTTGTTGAGGTCGGGGGAGCTGGACGGCGACTTTTTGTCTTTATTCGGAGAAGCCCACTTCCACCCACAGAGTTGGGGCTCACACTTCCAAGTTTATTTGTGTTTTGTCATTTGTTTTCCAACCCATCTTACCCCTTCCCAAGGTTTCAGATCCTCAACGATTTTTCACACGGGAATGATTTGCAAAGAGGTCCAAGGAAGTCGCTGTTGGAGGGTAGCCAAGCTGGAAGGGGGACGTTGCTTTGGCCCTGCAAAGTAAGAAGACAAGCGGCCCCATAGAGTCATACCCTCGATTGAAAACGGCATCTTTTCACCTACCAGCGAAAGCAGGGAGATGTTTAAAGAAGATATTATTGATGATAGGCCTACTGACGTCTAGCAATCCGTTCTGGAGGAACACTGGTCTTGGATACTCCTAAGGTGTATGCTATTGGTAAAATACTGCAGAGATCCAAAGTTCATTACTATGATCACCAAATTAGAATACTTTGGAATGCATTTAGTGTTTACTTATATATGGTACTCCACATATGATTACGTCTAAAAACTATTTTTTAACTTAAGTAACTGAAACTAAAGTTTATTTTGCACAGTATTTCAAATGAACTGTGTTCTTTTTTCTTGTGTTACTAAAACAGTGCTGTGTGTTTGTTCTTTTTCAGATCTGTCTACACTTTGACAAGATGAGAAATTTCTTCTTGAGGGTATCAGAAGGGTTGAAAATACTGATAATACTTTGTGCTGTTTTTATTTTTTCCCTTTGCACATTATTCTGAAAACAAATTAACTAGTTACTTGGGTCTCTGAAGGTATTCACTACACCTTTGTGTTAGGAGTTAATAAAATTACAGCTGGAAGATGTATCCTCTGATCAAAGAAAGGTTAGACAGAGTGATTAAAAATAACCAAGTCATGGTAGAAATAGTCTTTCAAAAGCATGCAGGTGATAACTGCAAAAACAGTGTTTTGAAGAATGATCTTATTTCTCGTGTGTCCAGGAACAAGCCATAAGATGAATAGCCTTTCTCATTTTTAGGCAAAGGTAATACGTGTTGGTATCATTTCTCTGTGAACACAACAGTGAAAGAGGCTTACACAGATATTTTGGTTATGCAGAAACACTTTTGCAAGTAATGGTGGTAAGTATAAGAAAAGGAATGACTCTACAGATTTGCACTTAAGCCTTAATTTCAGCCTTTTAAGTTATTTTTAGGGGTTGGTGATCAAGGATGTTCTCATCTTGTTTATTTTATAAGATATTATCTTATATAAGCAACAGCCTCAATTTGAATTATATGGTGGACAAATGTATAGTGGATAAAGAGCTCAGAAATCTTGGGTGTAAAAAATTTTACCTATAGAACATAGTGATTTCTGTACTTTGTTATACATTTGGGTAGTCTGGTGTTTTTCTGGCCTTACATTTAATGGACATCTGACCATAAAGACATGAAAAATTGTACTCTTTAGAAATGCCATTATAAAATTAATGTTTAAGGGATTGGTGATGCTTGCTTGTTAAAAATAAATCTCAGTGTCTCAGAGAAAACACTGTAGGTTAGGAAAACATTGTAAGTGGAATTAGGAATGCCTAGGGAGATTAAGCAACCTACATTCTTTTTATTCTTAAAAGAGAACTAGGACATTGTATCATAATTACAGGTAGCTAATTAAAGAGTATGGAGTCAATTGCTGTTAGGGCAAGGGCTTTTTTCAACAGGGTAAGTATCAGGGTCATCTGTAGAACTCTAAAAATAGATCGTTTTTGCCTACTCATCCCCATTGAATTATCAGGGTTGGAATCAAGTATTATGTATTTTTAAAACTGTAAGTTAGTCTACAGCAGTGGTTCTCAACCTTCCTAATGCTGCAACCCTTTAATACAGTTCCTCATGGTAGTGACCCCCAACCATAAAATTATTTTCGTTGCTACTTCATAACTAATTTTGCTAGTGTTATGAATCGTAATGTAAATATCTGATAGGCAGGAGACCCCCAAAGGGGTCGTGACCCACAGGTTGAGAACCGCTGGTCTACAGAGATTGAATGGAGTGATCCTCTACATCCTGTAGTTGTATTTTATGTAGTGTGTCATGCAAGTAATAAACCTTGATGAAGATTTTAGGTGGACTGCTAATTACACCAGTGAATGAATTTTAAAAATGAGTAGATGAGGAATTCACCTGGTGATCAATTCGCACGTGGCAGTTGGAGGGTGGGGGTGAGGAGTGAGGGCAAAGTTTTAGCCTTAAGACAGCTGTTCTCAACTTGTGGGTTGTGACCCCTTTGGGGGTCGAATGACCCCTTCACAAGGGTCACCTAAGGTCATCCTGCATATCAGATACTTACATTACAATTCCTAACAGTAGCAACAAAAATAATTTTATGGTTGGGAATCATCACAACTTGAACTGTATTAAAGGGTTGCAGCATTAGGAAGGTTGAGAACCACTGCCGTAAGAGGACCATAATACCCAACTTACTTGTATATTTCTTAGAGTAAGATTTTAGCCTAATACTAAGAAAGTGTCACAGTAAGAGGTACTTGGACAATAAGAGCTCAATTATACCATGAAATTGTAGTTATTTAGAAATTTAAAGGAAATTGAAATATCTAGAAAGAGGCAACAAGATAACTTTTAGACTTTTCTGAAGATAAATTGTCTCTTTAATAACTCCTTTCCTTGCCCTAAATCTTAATTTTTTAGATGTTTTATGTTACCATAGTATTCTTGATATTTACGTAAATTATATGTAATAGAATCTCTTTTAGGTTTAGAGGACCATTTGAGAGCTGTGAATGCTTACAAACTAATCCATGTTTTACAGACAAAGCAGTGGGCATGGTGAAATTAAAATTAGGTTCAGCACTCATAGCTGTGGTTAGGGCGCCAGCCACATACACAAGGCTAGTGAGTTTGAACCTGACCTGGGTCTGCTTAACAATAATGACAGCTGCAACAACAAAATAGCTGGATGTTGTGGGTGCCTGTAGTCCCAGCTCCTTGGTAGGTAAGGCAAGAGAATCACGTAAGCCCAAGAGTTTGAGATTGCTGTGAACTATGAAGCATGGCACTCCACCAAGGTCGACATAAGAAGACTCCAAGAAAAAAAAGAAATTAGTGATCACACTGCCCACTAATGTATGGTGACCGGACGTCCTGCTTTTGGCAGGACAGTCCTGATTTTTAACAATTTGTCCCCTGTCCTGCTGCATTTTTAAAAAGTCCCAGTTTTTGGAAAGAATGCACGACAAGCTAGGGAACAGCGACAAGCTAGGGAACAGCGGGGGAATGAGAAGGGAGTATATCCGCGGCTGAAAAGGTTAATGTAACTCCATTTGGGAATGAAGAGGTTATTGTAACTTCATTTGGGAATGAAAAGGCTAATGTAAACTCCCTAATCCCCTCCTGGGCAAGGTCGCCCAGGTGGAATCTGTATCAGAAGGATACTGGCTCCCTCCCTCATTTCTAGGTAAGAACAGCTCAGAAGGAGCCAAACTATCTGGAACAAACAAGTAGCCCCCCCCCCCCCAAGAGTCCCTAACCATAAACAGCTCAGCTGATGGCCCTCCCCCACCCAGTGGGGTCCCACTTTACCAATGTTAAAATCTGGTCACCTTATACTAATGGCAAGAAGCAAGGCTGGAACCAGAATCAAGAATCAGTCCTCTTACCTGTTGAGTGTTTTTAATGCTTCATCAAGCTTGCCGTTGTTAACCTTTAAACATTAGATTTCTTTTTATCATGATATTCTAGGATTTTAATTCCTTGTATAATTTATTTCAGTGTATATTTTCATGCTTGACTCTTCAGATAATATTTTAAGACAGTAGTGCACATGACATACTTTATATTTTAGTTATGTTCCAACCAGGAAATTTGACTTTCTTTTTTTTTTTTTTTTTTTTTTACTTCTATTTCAGATTGATACATTTGTGGGTACAAATGTTTAGGTTACCAGCTACTCGGGAGGCTGAGGCAAAAGAATCGCCTAAGCCCAATAGGTGGAGGTGGTTGTGAGCTGTGATACCACAGCACTCTACCCAGGGCGACAGCGTGAGACCCTGTCTCTAGAAGAAAAAAAATGTTTAGGTTACATTGTTTACAATTACAAGGTAAAGTTCAAGTTGTAGCTGAGCCTTTCACCCAGGAGGTCAGTTTTCCTCTTAATAGAATAGCTTAAGGTCTTTATATAATTGAGTGTGAGCTTTAGATACTTCAGAGTTATTAATAAACAACTTTCCAAAATGGTAATTCCCATCAAGTATACCATTATGTAATTCTCTTCTGAAGTAAAACTGTGAAATATTTTTCAGGCATGTCAGTAACTTGAAGGCAGATCAACAGTAGAAAACCATAGTTCTATCCCATTATTATGTAGGTGATTGTTTTCAGTTAGTCATTTAGTTCTAGACATGGAAAGACATCATTTGTCTTACGGTTATTTGTCTAGGACTGAAGAAATTTATTTCTTTAAATGCTAAAATTTGTTAATTTAGTTACTCTAAGGTGAATTTAATAGCATGTACAATGAGTACAGTTCCATGGTTTGAGGGCCACTGGGATTAGTCTGCTAATTTTTAATAATTACACACCGTCACTTGCTCTATAGATCCTTAGTTGCCAAACTTCCCAAGTCATTGACCAAGTTAAAGTCCCGAATGTAAGTGCAAACCAGTAGAATGCAGACCTCCCCATTGATGATGGAGTCCTGGGTCGGGGTTAGTGTTGAAGGCCTAGCTTTGAAGACAGGCCTCATTAGAATAGGAAGAACTAAAAGAAGAAGAAAAGTAGGAGGAATTTAATGCAGTTTAAACTTAAAAAGATTCTAGTTTGGTGCTTGTGCTCCTAGCTTGCTATGTCGCCATGGCCAAACCATTTTGCTGTGCAACATCAGTGACACTTGGAAGCCTTAGGTATGTTGTCCTTGGTTCCCGTTTAACTCCCTCTTCGGATCACTTAGCGAATTTGTTTGAGGTGTTTACTTTCTGAATTATGTAACATTCTTTCATCTGCATCTGCTCGAGGATAAAAAGATAAAACAGAAGACAATAGATAGTTGAACCTTTTAAAGGATCCCCAAGATTGAAATACTTAATGAGTCCAGCTTCTTTAAAGGGGCGAGGCCTTTGAGCAAGACTGACTAGGGTTTTGGAAAATAGTTCATATCACTGACCTGCATTCCTACTGCCCCTTCAATGGTTCTATCACTGTCACAAGAATTTATAACATTCTGCACGTCAGTGATAATAGCAAGGACATTGGACTGTTGAAGAGGAATCTTTTTTTTTTTTTTTTTTTTTTTGAGACAGTCTCACTGCCACCCTTGGTAGACTGCCATGGTGTCACAGCAACCACAAACTCTTGGGCTTAAGCAATTCTCTTGCCTCAGTCTCCCGAGTATCTCAGATTACAGGTGCCCACCACAATGCTCAGCTATCCTTTTGTTATTGTAGTTGTCATTGTGGTTTAGCAGGCTCAGGTCAGGTTCTAACCTGCCAATCCTAGTATATGTCGCTGGTGTCCTAACTCACTGAGCTATGGCGCTACCCTAAAAGTTAAACTTCTTAACAAATGTTCGTCATCTGGTGGCGCCTGAGGTTCAGTGGATAGGGTGCCAGCTACATACACCAGGCTGGCGGGTCTGAACCCAGCCTGGGCCAGCTAAAACAATGACAACTGCAGTAAAATACTAGCTAGGCATTGTAGCGGGTGCAGGTAGCTACTCGAGAGGCTGAGGCAAGAGAATTGCTTAAGCCCAAGAGTTTCAAGTTGCTGTGAGCTATGATGCCACAGCAGCTACTGAGGGCAACATAGTGAGACTGTCTCAAAAAAAAAAAAAAAAGTTCATCAACCTGACACAGTAGCTCACACCTGTAATTCTAGCATGTGAGACTCTGAGGTGGGTGGATTGCCTGAGCTCACAAGTTGAAGACCAGCCTGAGCCAGAGCGAGACCCCCCTCCTCTCAAAAAAAAAAAAAATAGCCAGGCATTGTAGCAGGCACCTATAGTCCCAGCTACTCAGGAGGCTGAGGCAAGAGGATTGCTTGAACCCAAGAGTTTGAGGTGGCCGTGAGCTAAGATGCCATGGCACTCTTACGAGAGTGACCAAGTGAAACTGTCTCCAAAAAAAGTATAAATGTTCATCAAAGCAACCATCACAGCTACTAAGTATCTCATAATTTGATTGAGTTAATACATGGGTGCTTATTAAACTGACAGCCTGGGTGATTCTGAGCTTCATCACCATCCAAAGATAAAATTCATTTAATCCAGTAACCATATTCCTTGAGATACCTGAATAATTCTTTAAAAAAAAAAACTGACAGCTCCACGCCTGTGGCTCAAGTGGCTAGGGTG